TTGTGTATTTTGCTAACTTGGAAGGCAAGATATTGCATCCTATTGGCAACTCCCTGGAGTCCACCAGTCCATTAAAATAATGAGAGTTGTAATGTTTCCCCAGCAAAATTAAGAGCATCTTAATTACTTAATCTCCAGTGAGTGACATACATATTAATTTTATGCATAATCTAATCAAAGAGCTACTGAACAGTGTTCTGTGTTTAAGTCAAAGAACATTTTCCTTCAAAGGTGAGCTTTGGTTGGCCAATATCAGAACTACTAAAGAAAGTAAATATGGAGTATCAGGTGTGCCTGGATGCTGGAAAGGTTACTCTGCCTATGATATATGTTTTTTTTTAATTCATTTACACTTCTATGGAGGAAAATTATTTTTTCAGATAACATTCTTGGAATTTATATAAAAAATAATCACATACAAAAATGTTTTATACTTATTTTGTAAAACTGTTACTGACAATGTTTTACTTGACAAATATCAACAGAATAATGGTGGTTAATTTTTCCTGAAAATCAACTTTTGTTTCCTCTTGGGGAAAAAAATCTGTTCCTCCCCTAAACATTCTGATTTCAGTCAATAGCATGACCTTGTTGTTTGAATCTCAAGCTAGGAGTCCTGAATTGTTCTCTTTTCCTCAAACCATTTATCTACAGTAGTCACAAATAGTGTTGGAGTTTAGAACACTAACACCCACCCATACATCTAATCCATCAGTAAATCTCATTGATTATGCCTCAAAATATATTCTAAACCCATCCATTTCTCTCTAAGCCTGCATGCTACCTTAGACCAAGCCACGATTTTTTCCCACACATGCATTCTTTTTTAATTATACAAGTGACATTTCTTTTTTTTTTTTGAGACAAGGTCTCACTCTGTCACCCAGGCTGGAGTGCAGTGGTATGATTATGATCTTCCCACTTTAGCCTCCTGAGTAGCTCAAACTACAGGCATGTGCCACCACACCCAGCTAACTTCTAAATTTCTTGTGTAGAAACGTGTTCTCATTATGCTTCCCAGGCTGGTCTTGGACTTCTGAGTTCAAGCAATCTTCTCGCTTCAGCCTTCCAAAGTGCATGGATTACAGGCATGAGCCACTGCACCTAGCCTTCCATTTTCTTCTGTATGATTTATTATCTAGAATAAAGACTTCATGAAAACAAAGACCTCTTGTATCTTATTTTATGCTATGTCCCCTGTTCTTAGGACACATGGCAGGTGTACAATTATTTGTTGAAAGAATAAATGAATACATGAATGAGTTTTCAACCATGTGCTAGGCATTGTGCAAAGCACTTTACAAGCAATGTTGCTTTTGATCTCCAGCAGCTACATGAGATAGGGACCATTATAATCTCTATTGCACAGAGGAACACTGGGTTCACACACCAGTAAGTGGTAAGGACAACCACTCCACATAAGTCCATTTGCAATGTGTCATATTGGACTGATCATGTAATGTTTTAAAGTTTCAGTTTTCTCTCCTGAGGAAAAAGTATCATGTATCTGTCCTTTTAAATTTCTTGTATAAATCAGGGAATCCTTTAAAATAAATCACAGAATCATCTAGCCACCAGTTACTTTAGACAGCCGTTAAGTCTAGCTCTCAATTCCACTATATATGAATTATCCAACAATGAAGTATCCAGCAATGCATATATGTATAAGTATAAATAGAATTTCCAAGAAATATACAAATGGTTTAACATTTGAAAATATACTAAAGTAGACCGGGCACGGTGGCTCACGCCTGTAATCCCAGCACTTTGGGAGGCCAAGGTGGGTAGATCACCTGAGGTCACAAGTTCAAGACCAGCCTGGCCAACATAATGAAACCCCGTCTCTATTAAAAATTAAAAAGAATTAGCTGGACATAGTGGTAGGCGCCTGTAATCCCAGCTACTCAGGAGGCTGAGGCATGAGACTTGCTTTAACCTGGAAGTTGGAGGTTGCAGTGAGCAGAGATCACGCCACTGCACTTCAGCCTGAGCAACAGAGCAAGACTCCATCTCAAAAAAAAAAAAAAAAAAAAAAAGGAAAGAAAATATACTAAAACAATTCACCATACAAAAGAATTAAAAGGGAACAACTACATGCTGATCCATTAAATACTCATTTGAGATAAGTTGACTGCTCTTTATCTTACCTAATAAAAGAAATTTATCAAAAACTTATAGTAAACATCACAGTTTAGAGTGACATGTTAGAATCAAGAATAGGAGGCCGGGCGTGGTGGCTCACGCCTGTAATCCCAGCACTTTGAGAGGCCGAGGCGGGTGGATCACGAGGTAAAGAGATCGAGACCATCCTGGTCAACATGGTGAAACCCCATCTCTACTAAAAATACAAAAAATTAGCTGGGCATGGTGGCGCATGCCTGTAATCCCAGCTACTCAGGAGGCTGAGGCCGGAGAATTGCCTGAACCCAGGAAGCGGAGGTTGCAGTGAGCCGAGATCACGCCATTGCACTCCAGCCTGGGTAACAAGAGCGAAACTCCGTCTCAAAAAAAGAAAAAGAATCAAGAATAGGACAAGGATGCCCATTATCACCACTTCTACTCAACTAAAGACAGGTAAAATAAAAGGAATTAAAGGCAATATAATGAAATGAAAAGTCAGTCAAAACCAGAAATATTCACAGACATTATGATTAGTTGCAAAGAAAACTCAAGAGCATTTATAGATATATTGACAGAATTCATAGAGATTTAGCAATTATGTTGGATAAGAACAACATTAATAAAGCAATTTCACTTCTATCACTAACAAACTGTTATGAATGTAAAATAAAATAACACAACATACAAAATATCTAGGAATAAATGAAATGAAAGATGTGCAAGCCTATTGTATAGAAGATTATAAACCTTTATTGAAGGGTTTTAGAGAGCTCTGTTCATTGATAGGAAGTGAAGCCTTAATATCATGAAGATGTCAGTTATCTCCAAATTAATCTATAAATTCAGTTCAGTTCCAAACAAAATCCCATGTAATTTTTCCATGAAATTGGATAAATTGATTCTAAAACACATATTAAAGAGCAAAAGGACCATGCATCTCTGTGCAAATATGATGGAAAGATTAAGAAAAGGTCTGCAAGAACAGATGCAAAATTGAGAGTACTCGTTATCCCTGGTGGGGAGCATAAGTTTAAAGAAGATGTGGGCAACAGAAGTGAAGCACTTTTATTTATTGTCTACATAATTATGAATTACATTTTTTAAATAACACATTTACAGATCATCTGAGTAATATACAAAGTACAAGGGAATGAAAGATGCTGTATGATTCGTAAAGATATCAGCTAGAAGCCCAAGTGCAAAGAGGAAAAATGATGTATACAATAGTGCCTCCTGCGTATCCATGTCTTCAACTATGGTTTGAAAATATTAAATGAACAGTTCCAGAAATAATCCATAGGTTTTAAATGCATGCCATTCTGAGCAGCATGATGAAACTCTGTGCTGACCTGCTCCATCCCACCTGGGAAATGAGTCATCCCTTTGTCCAGTGTACGGTGCTGTAGGCTCTACCAGCCCATCAGTCATTGACAGGATCTGTTCTTGACTTCCAACCATCATCATGACTCCATGACCCAAGGTCAGTCGAAGCAGATGATCCCCCTTCTGATGTATGGTCAAAAGGTCAGTGATAATCTATGGCTACATCATGGTGCCTATGTCATTCATGTCACTTCATCACATCACGCAGGCATTTTATCAACTCACATCATCATAGGAAGGGTGAATACAGTACAATAAGCTATTTTAAGAGAGAGAAAGATCACATGCACATAATTTTTATTACAGCATGTTGTTATAATTGTTCTATTTTATTACTGTTATTAATCTCTCACTGTTCTTAACTTATAAATTAAACCTTACCATAGGTATTTAAGAATAGGATAAAACAGTATATATAGGGTTCAGTACAATATGCAGTTTCAGTTATCCACTGGGGGTCTTGGAATGTATTCCCCACAGAGAAGTGGGGATTCTGTATACCGTTTTTACAAATGTCCCAATAGCAGGATGTTCATGGCTGTGGCCTAACCTAAAAATTTGTTTAACAAGGAGCTATAAAAAGACTGCTTTTTTAAAAAATAATTATTATAGCTTGCCGAAATACAGCTATGTAGACTAAAGAGAAACTGGATGGCTTGACTTATGTTAGTTTATAAAAAGCATATACAATGGATTAGCGCTCCATGGAGGCTGACTGTCCCCAAGTCAGGAGACAATTTTAGCACAGCCTGGACCTCCTACAGAGCCCTGTACTGTAATGAAGGTATCATATTTTGTGTTACCTCCAAAATTCATATGTTAAAATCCTAATCCTCAATGTGATGGTGTTTGAAGATGGGGCCTTTGGGAAGTATTTAGGTCATGAGAGCAAAGCCTTCATGATGGAATCAGTGCCCTTAAAAGAAAAGACACAATGGATTGTGCTTCCTTTCTTTGTATTCTCTGCCATGCAAGGATACAACTGAAAGACTGCTATCTGCAAACCAGGGAGGGGACCCTCACCAGACACAGAATCTGATGGCACCTGATCTTGGACTTCCTGGCCTTCCAGTCTATGATGTTCTGTTATAGTAGCCTGAACTAAGACATGATACAGGAAAAGGAGAGGGCAAAAGTCTTCATTGGGAGCTTTACTTTGCAAACAACATTGTAAGCATAAAGTATGTACTTTCTGGGCTTTGGTTTTATTGCCTTATTATTATTATACTTTAAGTTCTGGGGTACATGTGCAGATCATGCAGGTTTGTTACACAGGTATACCCGTGCCATGGTGGTTTGCTGCATCCATCACCCCATCATCTACATTAGGTATTTCTCCTAATGCTTTCCCTCCTCTATCCCTCCACCCCCTGCTATTCCCGCTCTTCTAGCCCTTCCACCCCCCAACAGGCCCTGATGTGTGATGTTCCCCTCCCTGTGTCCATGTGTTCTCACTGTTCAACACCCACTAATGAGCGAGAATATTTCATGTTTTGTTTTCTGTTCTTGTGTCAGTTTGCCGAGAATGGTGGTTCCCAGCTTTATCGATGTTGCCTTTTCTTAAAAGCTCTTTTCAGATTTTCATCATTCCTAAATCATTTCACAACAGAACAGGATTAAAAAGTACTCTTTTGTTAAGTGGGGCAAACTTTTTTTTTTTTTTTTGAGATGGAGTCTTGCTCTTGTTGCCCAGGCTGGGGTGCAATGGTGCGATGATGGCTCACTGCAACCTCTGCCTCTTGGGTTCAAGTGATTGTCCTGTCTCAGCCTCCTGAGTAGCTGGGATTACAGGCACCTGCTACCACACCTGGCTCATTTTTGTATTTTTAGTAGAGACGAGGTTTCACCACACTGGCCAGGCTGGTCTCAAACTCCTGACCTCAGGTGATCCACCTGTCTTGGCCTCCCAAAGTGCTGGGATTACAGGCATGAGCCACTGTGCCTGGCCAAGTGGGGCCAACATTTTAATGAATGTAAACTCTTCTATCTTTTTACTGGTCTTAGATATCTCTATTTATATCAAACATGTCATAGGGATGCAGGGTGGGAAGGCTCATTGTTTTCTCTTTTCTATTTTCAGTAAAGGCACCTGCTTTGGTGATTAAATTAGGCCTAGGTACTCTAACCAAAACATTTTCTCTAGTTGGGTTTTCCCCTCCTTCTGCTAAGGTGGTCTAGTTGGAAAGGGAAAGAATAAAGTTAAAATATTACTCTTTTGGCCATCGAGGGCTCCCACCTCACTTAGATAGACTATATGTGGTAGAGAAGGGTGGGGAAGCCTTACCATTTCTATGCACTGGCTTATTCTGACAGTGTAAAATCTCAGGGAAGAATCTTGTGAATGGAATCTTAATAAGCCAATGCTAAAAACCACAAATATTTCCTTTCCCCTCAAATGGTCTTTAGCTACACTTTTTTTTAAGGGCTTAAACCTTCCTGCTGGCCAGCTGGTGGCTCACACCTGTATTTCCAGTACAACAGGAGGCCAAGGCAGGGGGACCCCTTGAGCCCAGGAGTTTAAGAGTAACCTGGGCAACATGGTAAAAACCCCTTTCTATGAAAAAAAAAAATTATGACATTGCATGCCTGTAGTCCCAGCTACTCGAGAGGCCAAGGTGGGAGGACTGCTTGAGTCATAGAGGTTCAGGCTGCAGTGAACTGTGATTACACCACTGCACTCTAGCCTGGGTGACAGAGCAAGACCTTGTCTTCAAACAAAAACATAAACAAAAACCCAAATCTTCCTGCCACTGTCCCAGTATTCTTCTCTATATATTTTTTTCTTTTTAAAGAGAGGTGGGGAGATGTTGGTGTTAGATTGGTAGGTTTCATATAGAACCTTTGGCAATGTCAGGTGATGTCTAAAGTATTCACATACAGATCCCCGTGACTGGTAATGCACAGCATTCCTCCTGTAAGCTTGCATCTCTGGAGCCTGAGCCAGGCTTACACGTACAATAACTGCATAACTGCTGGTGCTCTGCTGCCTCAGCCCCAGTGTGTGCCCTGAACATTGTAAGTCACTCCCTTCTGTCAAGGGTGGTTTGTTTACCCTATTAGTGAAACCAACTGAGTACTGCCTCTGGGTACGTGAATGTGGCAGATGTCTGGTCAGGAATTCTGCCCGAGGCCAAAGTCTAAAAGCACTGCCAGATGAGGACAGCACAAAACTTCCAGCAGTTAGAAGTCTGTAGCAGGGGAAATGACTTAACAGATTGCGTGAAACTATTTAAAAATCAGTCTGGGGGCTGTCATGCTTTTCAGACTTGCATAGCTATGTTTATAAGCTCAGGACCTGGCTGACAACCACCATTGTTGTACTCACCTCCTACCATATTTTTTTGTCTAGTTTATTACACCTTTTATCCTAGTCTTACAAATAGAATGTAGGATATTTTAGAGTTTTTGAAAGACATTGTGATGGCTGCCTTTCACCAATATTCCCTCCCCATTGCCCAACCCCTTTCAATTCATCAATATATTCATCCATTCATCCATCCATCCATTTAATCAATGCTTATCTAGGTCCTGTGGAAGACAGAAATGACGCAGATCTAAGTCTTGCCTTTAATGCAACTGAAGTGGGAATCAGATGTTCATAAACAGTGCCTGGCATATTGTGAACACTATAAACATAGCAAGATATATAATTACAATAAAACTAGGGGAAAGTCAAGAGTCTCATAAAAGAAACACAAAATGCTATCAGGACAGGTGATTAAGAGAAGGAGGGTGACCTCTAAAACGAAATTTGGAGGAAGATCATTTTGACAACTGGTGGCTGGTAATGGAAGATGGGAAGATATTCCTAATAAAGGAAAGTGAAAGCAAACAGATATGGAAAAATATAGAACATGTGTGAAGAATAAACCTCATTTTTCTGGAACACAGTGTACAGAAGTGAAATAACAAGAGAAACTTGGGAAGGTTTCTAGGTCTCAGATTTTCAAAGACCCTGAATGAACAAGTTAAGGAGTTTGAGCTGAAGGCAATGGTTAGCAACCATGAATTTTTTTACATTTGACTTTTTAAAAATGGAGATATAATTCCAAACAGAAAAATGCACAGATCTTCAGTGTCCAGTTTGATGAGCTGTGACAAATGTCTGTAACCATATAGCTCCAATCAAGATACAGAACATGTCTATCACTCTAGAAAATTCCTTCTTGTCTCATTCAAATCTGCTCCCCTCCCATTCTACAGTGGCAACAAATGATCTCAATTTCATTCCTATAGATGAGTTTTGCCTGTTCTTGAACATCTTAACAATGCTATTATATAACATATGCTCTTGTATCTAGCTGCTTTTGCTCAACATGGTTTTTAGATTCATCCATGTTCCAAATGTTTTAAGCAGGAAAAATAATACCGTCATAACTGAACTTTGGATGATTAACCTGATCTAATGTATGGAAGTTTTGGGAAATGTAAAAGTAATTCCAGGAGCATATTTCAGGGAAATGGTTATCTGTAGAAATTTACAAAGAGATTGGATTCAGATAACAGTGGAGTAGGTAGAGGTCTACAAATCTAGTCAATTAAACAGAGAAGGAGAAGTAAGAAGGGAAAAAACAAAAGATCACTATAAACTTACTCTCCCCAGTTAAAATCTCTGCAAGGCCTAGGCTTAATCAGCTGATACTTTCAGCAGGATTAATTAACAGCTAGCTGATTGGCCCTGAAAAAGAGGTGCAGGTACATTCAAATGAAGGGGCACGAATAAATACAAATGAGCATGACCTGGGGTTGGGGGTTGAGGGGTATAAGAGAAAAACAGAAATAATAGACAAATTTCAAATATTAAAATATTTCTAAGGCTAAAATTCACATGAAACACACAGGACCCAGAATAGCCAAAACAAGTTTAAAAAAGCAGAACAGTTGAAGAATTCATAGTTCCTGATTTTGAAACTTACTTCAAAGCTGCAGCAATGAAGACAGTGGACACTGCTATGAGTAGACATGCAAATCCATGAAACAGAATTGAGAGTCTCTAAATAAACCCTTACATTTATGGCCAACTAATTGTTGATAAGGGTGTCAGGACAATTCAATGAAGAAAGAACAGTCTTTACAACAATGGTGCTGGGATAAGTGGATACCTGTATTGCAAAAGAATGAAGTTGGACCCCTATCTCAAGCCACATACAAAAGTTAACTCAAACCAGATCACAGACCTAAATGTAAAAGCTAAAACCATAAAACTATTAGAAGAAAATATGGATTAGAAAACCATCTCTTACATATGACATCAAAAGCACAAGTGACAAAAGAAAATAACAGACACGTTGGGCTTCCTGAAAAGTAAAACCTTTGGCACTTCAAAGGACATCATCATGAAAGTGAAAAGATGGCCCAGAGAAAGAGAGAAAAGATTTGTAAATCATATATGGGGCAAAATATATGACTAGACATAAAAGAATATATACAGATGGAAAATAAGCATATGAAAAGGTGCTCAATATCATTTGTTTTTAAGTAACTGAAAATTAAAACAATAAGATGCAACATACGTTTATTAGAATGGCTAAAACCCAAAACATTGACAGTAGCAAATGCTAGCAAAGATGACACGATTTGGCAGTTCCTTACAGAGTTAAACATAGTCTTACCATATGTGATGGTTAATTTTATATGTCTGCTTGATTGGGCCATGGGGCCATGGAGCGCCCAGATATTTTGGCAAACATTATTCCAGATGTTTGGGGATTAACATTTCAATCAGTACAACTGAGTAAAGCAGATCACCCTCCCTAATATGGCAGGCTTCATCAATCAACTGAAGGCCTGAGTTGAACAAAGAGGCTGACCCTCCCTCAAGTGAGACTTCTTCCTGCCTGACAGTTTTTGAATTCGGACATTGACATTTTCCTGCCTTTGGACTTGAACTGAAACATTGGCACTTCCTGGGTCTCTAGTTTGTCAGCCCTCAAACCAAATTAAACCATCAGCTCTCCTGGTTCCCAGCCTTTAGACTCAGACTGAAACTAAATCATCAGCTTTCCTGGGTCTCCAGCTTTCCAATTCATCCTACAGATCCTGGGAGCCAGCCTCCACAATTGGGTGAGCCAGCTGAACCTTTTTATTATATGTGTATATGTGTATATATATTATATCTGTATATGTTTGTGTGTATATATATGTGTGTGTGTATGTATAAATGCATAAGTATTTCCATTATATATGTGTATGTATTACATATGTGTATATATTTATATATAATATACACACACACACATATATATATATATATATATATATATATATATAGCTCCTATTGGCCTTACTTCTCTGTAGAGCCCTGACAAATAGAGTCATGTAATTCAGCAGTTGTTCTCCCAGGTGTTTATCCAATTGAGTTGAAAATGTATGTCAACATAAAAACCTGCATACAAATGTTTATACCAGCTTTACTCATAATTGCCCCAAACTGGAAGCAAACTAGATGTCTTTCACTAGATGTCTTAGTGTAGGTGGAAAGTCTCATAAGTGCTGAGGCAGGAGACTGAAGCCTCAGCCAGTTCCTGTTTAATAAATAGAATATACAAAGAAGAATCTAGTCCAGAATAAGTGTCATGAGTTATTAGATATTAGTCTTATTGAATATTAAGCCTTGATTTGAGCCTTCTTGTACTTCATGTATAATTATCTAGGAACTTCAGGTTGCTGTAGTCAGGGACTAATAGGGGACACTATGGAATGTGGCCATGAGGCAAGAGCATTAATACCTGTTGAACCACATTGACTGGCTGAATGCAGAGATAATCTGTTGAATGCTGAAACCAAGCCCTCTGTCACACCCGCATAAGGGTTGCTGGAGGGCATCTAAAACCTCTGCGGTAGCGCCAGTACTTGGGGAAGCACCTGCTACTCAGCAGACCTTGGAAGGGAACATTCCCTGTCCTTGGGAGAGTCCGAGAACACTCCACTCCCCCAAGCTCTTGTGGAAGAACCATCAGTCAGCCCATCCTGCAGCTACCCAGGGGGCTTAATTGTCTTTATGTGGTGCTGTGCTATATTGGTTGCAATCTGTGTCTGCTTTTACTCCCTACTTCTGCACCTGGTTCTTCTTTTGAAGACAGTAAAATGTAGCATAATTTTTGAAGCCTTTGCTTTTACTTGGCAAGTATAACATAAAGTGCTGACACATCTTACTGACCCTTGTTGCGAAGTACTGGGCCCCTTGTACCTTATACACATGACCTGTTTGAAGATTCACCCTATTTACCCTGCCCCCCTGTTTTGTACCTAATAAAAGTCAAAGTGTCGAGGCACTTGGGGCCACTACCAGTATCTCCACGAACTGGTGGTAGAACCCTGGGCACAAACTCTTTTTCTCTTGATCTCATTGTATATTAAGTATCATCTTTATTTCTACAGTCTCTAGTCTCCACACCTGTAGAGAATATCCTCTAGACCCAGCAGGGCTGGACCCTACATCTTAGTCCGTCCAATCTGCTATAACAAAATATCACAAACTGGGTGGCTGATAAATGATAGAAACATATCTCTCGCAGTTCTGGAGGCTGGAAAGTCCCAGATCAAAGCCCTGGCAGATCTGTTGTCTGTTGAGGATTGTCCTTTCACTGTAACCTCATGTGGAGAGAGGGGTGAGGGATCTTTCTGGGGTCTCTTTTATAAGAGTACTAATCCTATCATGAGGGCTCTGTGTCATGACCTAATCAGCTCCCAAAGGCCCCACTTCCTAATACCATCACTCTGAGGGTTCACATTTCAACCTAAGAATTTTGAGGAACATAAACATTCAGACCATAAGAATGGGTGAATGGGTAACCAAATTGTTGTACATCTATAATAGAACATTATTCAGAGATAAAATAAGTGAGCTATCAAGCCTTGAAAAGACAAGAATGAATCTTAACATACAGTTTCTTGGCAAAGCTATATCCTGTATAGAAATATGGGCTAACAATTCAGAAACTCCCATACATATAATACTGAAATTGGACAGTTAAGCCCATGGATGGCTGATGGTAGGAGCCAATTTTCTCGCTGGAATGGGAGTTTACAGACAAGAAAGGGGAAGAGGCTAGAAAAATCCTTGTGGTAATAGATTTAAGTTGGAAACTTTGATACAAACTCAACTTTAACCAAATATAGATAAAGATGGTTACATACAGGAATATTTATGGATATGTGTATCTACGTAGGTTATCATGTGTTTATTTCCTATTTCTGTTTGCTGAAAAAAACCCTGTAGCAATGAGCACACCTAGCGACCAAATCTTGGTTTCTAACACCATCTACCAATAAAACAAACCAGGGTTCCTTGGAAAAATGACTTATTCTAGGACTAGGGCAGGAAATGTGCAAGATGAGCCTGGAGCATCTTAAGAACTTGCTAAACAAACTAATAAACAAAACTCCAAAACATCAGGATGAGAGTATGCTACAGAGACTTGGGAGCCGATTAAAAGAGCTCCCAGTGGCCTAACTGGAAAAATTTAAGAAATAAGATAAAGTCAAATTGGACTATAATCCCAAGTGTAAAATAAATATCTATGAGTGCAAACTGATATAAATAAATGATTAAATGAAGAGAGATGTGAAAAAGAATTCCAAATAATTTATGAAGATACTCCACCCTCAAGGAGGTAGAGCATAACCTATTATTTCCTTTTTTTTTTTTTTTTTTGAGATAGGGTCTCACTCTATTCCCCAGGCTGGAATGCAGTGATGTGACCATGGTATGATTTTGGCTTATTGCAACCTCTACCTCCCAGGCTCAAGGGATCCTCCCACCTCAGCCTCCAAGTAGCTAGGATGACAGGCATGTGCCATCATGCCAAGCCAAATTTTTGACCATCTTGCCCAGGCTGGTCTCAAACCATTTGCCTGCTTCAGCTTCCCAAAGTCCTGGGATTATAGGTGTGAGCCACTGCACCCAGCCCAACCCTCTTCTAGTCCTGAAGTGTGAATTGCTCATAATGACTTCCTTCCAAAGAGTACAGAATGGAAGGATTGGGTAAAGTCTCTTGTAAGTGCAGAAACCTGGTAATTACTACCTCAGCCAGGTGATGAAGGCCAACATCAACAACAATGTCATGTTGATAGTATATATTTTTGATATGATGTGATGAAAATGGCACTCTACCTCTGTGGCTATAGTAGCCCTAGTCTAATCATGAGAGAGACATCTGGCAAATCACAATAGAGGGATATGTTACAAAAAATATCTGATCAATACACCTCAAAACTGTCATGGTCATCAAAAACAAGGAAAGTCTAAAAAACTGTCACAGCCAAGAGGATCCTAGGGAGGTGTAACAAATAAAATGTAATATGGTATCCTAAATAGGATCCTGGGACAGAAAAAAAAATTAGTAAAAATCTAAGGAAATATGAATAAGCATGAAGTTTAGTTAACAATAATTTATTCATATTGATTCATTAATTATAACAAATATACAAGCCAAATGCAAGAAGTTAATAATAGGGGAAACAGTTTGGAATTTACAGGAAATCTCTGTACTATCTTTGTAATTTTTCTATAAATCTATAGATGTTCTAAGAAATAAAATTTAAAAGATGGGCAAAGGATCTGAATAGACATTTCTTCAAAGAAGATACACAAATGGAAGCAAGAACATGAAGACATGCTCAACGTCATTAGTCATTAAGAAAATGCAAATGAAAATCACAATGAGATACCACTTCACATCCATTAGGATCGCTATAATAGGAAAGCTGACAACAGCAAGTGTTGGTGAGAATGTGGAGAAAATGAAACTCTCATACATTGCCAGTGGGATTGTAAAATGGTACAGACACTTTGAAAAAGAGTTTGGCAGCCCCTCAAAATGTTAAACATAGACTTACTATATGACCCAACAATTCCACTCCTATGTATAGGCCCAAGAGAACTGAAAACATATATCCACACAAAAACCTGTCTATTCATGTTCATAGTAGTATTATTTATCATAGCCAAAATGTGAAATCAACTCAAATATCCATCTACTGATTAATAAATAAACAAAAAGTGGTATAGATCCATACAATGACATGTTATCTGGCCATGTGGCTGCCACATGTTACAACATGGAAGAACCTTAAAAACATTATGCTAAGTGGAAAAAAAAAAAAAAGCCAGTTAAAAAAACTCATTCCATTCATATGAAATGTCCAAAAGAGGCAAATCTACAGAAACATAAAGTAGCTTAGTGATTGCAGAGGACTGGGGAAGGGGAGAATGCGGAGTGACTGCACATGGGCACATAGCTTCTTTGGGGAAGATGAAAGAGTTTTGAAGCCAGATAATGATGATGGTTATATAACTCAATTGTGCACTTTCAAAGGTGAAATGGATCACATGTGAATTATATCTCAATATAGCTGTTATTAGAAAATAAAATAATACAGTGCCAAGGACAGCCAACTCCTATATCACCCTGAGCTAAAAGCAGTAATTATGTATGTAGAAGCTCATGGTGTTGGGGAGTACAATCTTTGAAGAGACTTACATACACTGACCTGATAATTTAGCATTTAACATATATTATTTTATTTAGCATTTATTATGCCAAGAGTTAGGTGTTATTATCTACATTTTCAAGACTAAAAAAGTGAAACAGTCAGGTTTAAACCCAAGCTGACTTATTCCAAAGCTAGCTCTAAACCATTATATTTTATTGTATTGTAATGATTATTTTTCAACCTCTCAAATCTTGTATTTCTCCTCAAAGTGTTCTCTTTACTCCATAAAATTATCTTTAAAATTTTTATTTTATTTTTCACTGACAAGTAACAGTTGTAAATATTTATTGGATACAATGTGATGTTTCAATACATGTATATATTGTGGAATGATAAGATCTGGCTAATCAACATTTCCAGCACCTCACATGCTTATAATTTCTTTATGGTGAGAACATTTAAAATCTAAGATAATATAAAAAAGGTTTGTTGCCGGGCGCGGTGGCTCAAGCCTGTAATCCCAGCACTTTGGGAGGCCGAGGCAGGTGGATCACGAGGTCAAGAGATCGAGACCATCCTGGTCAACACGGTGAAACCCCGTCTCTACTAAAAATACAAAAAATCAGCTGGGCATGGTGGCGCGTGCCTGTAATCCCAGCTACTCAGGAGGCTGAGGCAGGAGAATTGCCTGAACCCAGGAGGC